TTAAACCTGTTAGTCCCACACCCAGTATGGTGAAGGGGGGGGATTAGATTCCATCCAAGGAAAGGGGAAAATACAAGTCCACTCCTTGGCTCAGGAGGGCCCAAAAGCCCTTTAAACCCGCATCAAGGACACTCCCCCTTAAAATTAAAGGGGGCGTGGAAGCACAAGTATTTGCCAAAGGATTTTGGGTTTTCCTTTCTTAAAAACATTATTATTATTATTATTTTTATTATTATTATTAAAATCAAACTAACGCTAAAACCCCCCTTGTTTTACATTAGGGCTACAGAATTTTTTTTTTGGGGTTGTTTGTATAGAAAAAAAATTTCGCCCGGTTTTTTTTCGAAAAAACGACTTTCCCGTAAGGGAAAAAAGATTTCCAGCCCGGTGTGTTTCTCAGAAAGTAAACGTGAAGGGACCCGGGAAGGGGGAGTGTCAAAAACTTTTTAAAAGTGTCTAAGTGTTTTAGAAAAAAGGTTTTTTAGCCCATCTGTTCTTTTTTCCTGGGAACGATTCCCAAGGGAAACGTCACTGATGTTAAAATGAAGCCGGGTTCAGGGGCAAAAAGGTTTAAAAGGGGGGTTAAGGTTTAAAAGGGGTGGTGGGTAATTGGGATTTCCCTGGAAAAAACAAGATTTTCTGGGGGTACCACAGGGAACCGTTCTTGGCAAACCCACTTTTCCTTTTTATACATCAATAATTTTCCCAAAAGGGTTTTACAACTTAGCTATTCTCTTTGTGATGACACAACTTTTGTCATCTCCCCCCCTAAATTTTGCCTTTACTTGACCTACTGTTTAAAGAAGAGTCGTAAAAAATATCGACTTGGGGGTTTACTGGGCATAAACTCAACGATCTTTGGGTGAAGTTAATAAAAATTTACCGACCCTTTGGGGACGGGTAAGAAAAATCATGACCTGGGTGACTGCAAATAAAATTTACCGAAACCCGGGATGACTGCAAAAAACCCCCCTGCCCCGTGACTGCTAAAAAAACTCACGACCTGGGTACTGCTAATAACTCACGGAAAATGAAAAGACCCGCTAATAAACTCATGACCTGGTGGGCTGCTAAAAAAACTCACTGACCTGGATGACTGTTAAAAATTAAAATTTAAAAAAAAAAAATAAAAATCCCCCAACCTAGGTGACTGGGGAATAAACTCACCAAATGGATGCTGCTAAAAAAACTTCCCCACTTAAAAATTTTACAAAAATTTTTTATATTAAGTATGTAAATAGAGCAAGTGAGGTCCAACTTAATATTATGCTTAACAATACCCTTATTGCTAAACATAATGAGGGAAAATTTCTGAGTCTGCACTTTGAAATTCAACACCCATATAAAACACATAACAAAAAAGTATCCTAAACAGTTGGCATCCTCTAAAAGATACGGTATTTTGTACCATAAACAACACTTCTTACACAATACTATTCGCTGATCTACCGTACCTACCTCACCTATGCTCTTTGTGCCTGGGGATCCACAACAGCAACTCACCTAAAGCCAATAACAACTCAACAAAAAGCTACAGTGCGAAGATGACACACAGTCCACTCCTTGATAACTCCTTCACTCTTCAAAGACCTAAACTTACTCACTATACAAAATATTCACTCTTACTACTGGTTTTAGTCTAAGTATCTTTATATTTTCTTCTTATTCGTTTTAGAGTAATCTTTACAGGAAAAGGGGTTACTAGCCCATTGTTCCCGGCATTTTAGTTGACTTTTACAACACGCATGGCTTACGGAGGAAAGATTCTTATTCCACTTCCCCATGGATATAAAAGGAAAATTAATAAGACCAAGAACTATTAAGATAAAATCAAAGAAAACTCAGATGAGTGTGTATAAATAAATGTGTACATGTATGTGTAGTGTGACCTAAGTGTAAGTAGAAGTAGCAAGACATGCCTGTAATCTTGCATATTTATGAGACAGACAAAAGACATCAGCAATCCTACCATCATGTAAAACAATCACAGGCTTCGTTTTACACTCACTTGGCAGGACGGTATACCTCCCTGGGTGGTTGCTGTCTACCAACCTACCCTGCCTCGGTGGAGACGGCCGACTTGTTGAAAAAAAAAAAAAAAAAAAAAATCTTTATTATGCACCGCTACTCATCCTGTGGAAAGTAGTCAAAGATTACAGAAAAATTTGGGTCCAGGGACGGGGGACCCAAAATTTAATAGTAAACAAGTTACAAGGTAATAAATCGGTAGATTGGAAAAATCAGACCATGTTTACAGGGGTAATGAATGATTAAAACCCTAAAATGGTTTCAATCTGAACAAATTACTATAAAATAATAATAATAATAAAATAATAATAAATTTTAATTGTTTTTTTCCTTTGAAAAGCTTACAATGTAGGTTTTAAATTTTTTTTTTTTCAAAAGTCGGCTGTCTCCCCCGGGGCGGGATGACCCAAAGAGAAAGAAAACCCCAAAAAGAAAATACTTTCATCATCATTCCCCTTTTTCCCACCCACTCAAAACAAAATCATGTTTTTGCAGGGGTGCCAGAATACAACTTTTTTGGAATATATATGTATAAAAAATACACAATATATCTCTAAAACTGCCAATTACCAAACCCCTCCTTTGAGTGCGGGATTGTATTTCCCCTTTCCAGGACCAATCCGGTATATAAAAAAACGGGTTTTCCCCTAAAACCCTTCACTAAAATTACCCAGCTCACCCCAAAAACAGATCGTCAGGTTTAAATATTATAAATTTTTAAATTTAAAAGGGAAGGCCCCTCTATATGCCTGGGCATTGGGGCAACAAACCCAAAATTCTTATCTTATTACACAAGTTAGGAGTATATATTTTAATTTTTTATTGCATACTAGGTAACTGAAGAAATTTAATTGTTTTAAAATAATGAGGTATAAAAAACATATACGTAAAAATATTAAATTAGTATTTTTTTTATTATTATAGTAAAAAAGAACGTAAGCCTTTAAAATTTAAAATTTTTTGTGAGGGAAGATAAGTTTGGGCGTGAACACTTTTTCTTTTAAAGCTGCTAAATTTTATGAGGCAGTAGCAAATTAGGAATTTTTATGTTTACTAAAGGAAATACTGAAAGTACTGAAGTGATTTTTCCCAGAAACTAGGGTCAATTAGAGCCCGGGTTATGTCAAACACCTTTGAAAAATTGTTTTGGTTAACAGGTTTTTTGAAGTTTCAATGATTTGCTGGTCCATGGGTGGAGGAGAGGGGGGTGTTAAAGGCAAGAACTTCATTTCAAAACGAAAATTTCCCTTTGGGCAATTTGGGCTTCCAAGTCTGGAGGTGGCAGGGGCAGTGTCCCTTAAAAGGGAAACCACTGGAGTGGGAATTTTTTATCCGGAGGGAATTTCTTCCACCTGGGCCAAAAACCTTCATTGAACCATTTTAGGAAATTTTTCCCATGACCCCCTGCCCTACTTTAAACCTTTCCCCATCACACACAATTTATCTTGACAACCTTTTTTTGAAAACTCGGGGATTTCGAGGATACACGGTAAAGGGTTCGCTTGAGATCCCCCAATAGCATTCCCACACAACAAGTGTGTTAGCTGTCTTTCATAGGTTTGTCCCGGGAGTGCCTTTACCCCTGCAAATGTAGGGCCCTTTGGCTTTTCTTCCAAAAAAGGGCCCGTTTCATCACAAATAACACTTTTTGGGGTTTTGGGAATTTTTCAGCCCTTTCAAAAATTTGATTTTTCCAAAAAAATTTTTAGCCGTTGTTTTTCTGAAATGGGACCCACGTGCCTTACAACATGTGTATGCCACTTTGTTTTGATTTTTTCAAACCCGCCTTTGTTGGCTTACCTACATCAGCACTTGTTTCAGCAGTTTCTTTATGAGGTCGTCATGCAAATGCCTTGCCTTTTCACAAATTCGACTGCACAACACTATCTCCTGCTAACTTTTTTCCTTATCCACACCAACAATTTCTCCCTTTTCCAATTGTTTGGGATCTCTGTTTGGTTTATCGCATTCACCCCTTTCGCAACATCGCTTCCATGATTTCTTTTCTCTTTGCCCAATAGAGCTATTTTTGAGGCACTTCCCCCTACACCCGCCGAGTTCAGCAAAACGTTGCTATCATATTTTTTTAGGATATTTCTTTCAGTTCTACGGGGTTTTCACTTTTTTTACCAAAGCATGACTAGGAGCTTTCTTTGGGGGCCATGGTCGCTTATTTAGCAGTCACACACAATAAACAAGTGGCAAAAACAATGGATTATGAAATGTTTTGTATGACCTGGCAGGATATGTTCGCTCACTGAAAAACAACGCTACACTGGCTGAGAATGGGGTGGGTGGCGGCTTTGTCTACGTGCTCAGCAATGGATAGGCTCTGTACGATCAACGAAAACTGAACCAAAAAATCGAAGAAAAAAGTTGGCCAAAAACCGAAATCAGCAATAATAGAGACAGATGAAAACGGAGGGTCCACTGTAGTTGAATAACAAATTACAGCAATATATTTCAGCACATTATACATAATTAAATTGAGACCATATAAGTTTTGAAATAATCTTATAAAATATGGTAGTTTTTGAGCAGTGTTTTATAGTGCTTGAGTTGTTAATTTTGGGAGATGAGGTGATTTCTAAGTAGAGCCCTGAATTGATGTGCAGGCAGAGACCCTTCTGTATTTTCAGGCAATGAATTCCAGATCTTAGGGCACTTTATATGCATAGCATTTCTGTATAGGGAGAGATGGACATGAGGGATATCAAAGTGTGTTTTGTGCCTTGTGTTATGCAAGTGCTTTCTGTTGTAGTTCTTGAGGAGTCGTCTAAGAGGAGGGTTTATATTAGAGAAGTGTTTCCTGTGTATGTAGTAGGCACAACAATATAAGTGAATATTTTGTATGTCAAGGAGGTTCAAGCTCTTAAATAGCAGTGGGGTGTGTTGCCTGGTGCAGGAGTTTGTAATCATTCTCACAGCAGCTTTCTGTTGTATAATTAAGGGTTTAAGGAAAATAAAATGCATTTTAATTCAATTTCCATTAGTTGTTCTTACAAATACTATATTTATTGCATAAATAACATGATTAAGTAAGAGAATAATAAAAATAATGAAAGTAATACAATTGATGGAATGGTGCTCACGCTGCTGCAACTTGTCGTAAGGGGCCATCCAGATACCTGGCCAGAGCGTGGGTCTTTGCACAAAGCAGGCCAAAGCCTACATTTTCCTTGGCATAGATGCAAAGGAGCAGATTTGCCACTTGTGTCACACATACTTTACCATCCTGTCAAATATATATTTCAAGATGAGTTCTGTTACTGCAAATACAATTCTCATTAAAGCAATAGATATAAGCTTTAATCCTTATGGGTAAACAAGAAAGAAAAATCCTTTCCCCTTTAAAGAGTTATGTACCTTCCAAGGAACACAAGCACATAAATGTTCTTAATATTCAGGTTACAAAGAAATCTTAATAAAATTGCAAACCAAATGTTTAATGTATGAGCACTTTCAGACACTGTTGAAGGGTATAACATAAGCTTCTAAATAATCTCTTAACATCTTAACTTTCATTTTGGCTTCATATTATATTTATGGGGAAACAGTAAACCTGTAAGGGTCATACAGCATCTGAGGAATGGGAGGCAATCAGGTTCGATCCAAGGAAAGGGAGGCCAAGTCCAATTCCTTGAACTGAAAGACACTCCTTAGCATCAAGGAACCTCCCTTGATGGGCATGAGCCATGGTAAAGCAAACACTTAATGTGTAATGAAAAACTTGAATATGTTTACGAGTAGAGCTGCTTATAATTTTAGAAAAGTGGTTTTTAGAAAAATGATTTTTTAATAAATGTTGGTTACTTTTTTTAGAAATTGAGACACATGTGCAACATCTGGGTATCTTTATTGTAGACGTTTCACCATCCAGTGGCTTTATCAATACAAATTCCAGGACATAACTTGAAGACAGGAGAACTATGTACAGAAGATGAGGTAATCAGTCCCTCAACCTAGCAGTAGGTGCGAAGAGCACCATCGGTATTGTATACCATTCTTGTACAACCTGTCAGACACTGCAACATCATGGAATCTTGATTCTGAGGACATGTACATAACCTTCACGACTACGACAACTACTACTACAACTAACCCATCTCTTTGGGTAGGACCTACTTCCACTGGGGAATCCCGCCTACCAGTGACTATGCCCTCGTCTGCTTCCTGTCCCATTTCCACCTGACGTTACTATATAAGCATCAGGCGCCTTGCTTCTGCTTCAGAATCTCCACGACTACGGTGCTCTTCGCACCTACTGCTAGGTTGAGGGACTGATTACCTCATCTTCTGTACATAGTTCTCCTGTCTTCAAGCTATGTCCTGGAATTTGTATTGATAAAGCCACTGGATGGTGAAACGTCTACAATAAAGATACCCAGATGTTGCACATGTGTCTCAATTTCATCTTGTTGGTATTGTATACCATTCCTGTACTACTTTTTTTAGATAAATCCTGTCATTAAAACAATGACAGTTTCAGCAAAGTGTTTCAAAGTAAATATTCTTATGAGAGTCACAAGGTACAGTGAATGAAGACTTGTCCACATGAGTACGGTAGAGTTGACTCATAAGCTACATAGCACTGGATCAGCTCTATTTACTAATTTTGACCCAAGCTACTGCCATGATTGCCACTTTTCAGCTGTGTGTTGCCATGATTATTAATTCACAGCCCTGGTCACCAATTTTCTGCAATGTGAATGATGTGGGGCAATGTTTCTTGCCACAGTGTCTGAACTCTGATCTTACATGTTCTTTCAACCCCACACAGCAAATATGAAAAACCTAGGAGATTTTTTTAACTCCCCAACATTGATGCATTTGAAAATGTCTTTACAACTATTGTTATGATGCATAAATGTTGAGCCAATAATGTGGTGCTAAGTGGATGGGAAGGTGGTATTATCAATTGCACCATAAATATTCTGGCAAAATAGGTACATATATCCATCGCCCTTAACCAACCTTCTCTTGGCCTCATATACTGCTTCTCACAATTTTTTTTTTTGGTTGTTACTTTAAACGCAGATCTGTTGTATGGTCATTCGATGTACTGCAAAAGAGTTCCTACATGCTTGGTACACCCTGATTAAGTAAAGTGGGTTGTGATAGTATGGTTTTGATGTTCTGACACCCCCAGTTTATTATCAAGTAAATATATTGCCACATAAGAAAATATTTAATGACATGCTCTATCAGACAAATAGCAGATAAGTACACACAATGTTTGTGATGTCCTTTATGAAATTAAGCCTTGCAAATGTTTGTCAACCCCTTCACTGTAGGAAGCCCCAAAATTAAAAGGGCTGACAGTGAAGCCATTATAAAAAAAAAATCTTCCGAAATGGTAGAGAATCTTCTTCTGACAATAACAATACCAAAAATACAAAATTCAATGGAAAACTTATGGAATTATGCAGGCACAAATTTAGTGGTGTGGATGCAATTTCTACGCAAGGGACTTTCCCTACTTTGAGCCCTATTTTAACCCATTTTTCCATTGCTCAATTCAAAAATTTTTTTTAGCTATTTCTTTTGATTATTCTTTTTGTGATGATGAAAAAGGGCCCTTTTAAAATTTAAAAAACTCCCTAAAAAAGACACGAATTTGGGAAAATTTGGCTAATTTTAACAAAACCCTAAAGACTTCCAGGCACTAAAACTACTTTTCCTCTTTCTTTAATCATCCATCGGGCCCTATTTATGTTACATTTGCCCTCCACTTTGAATTCATCAAAAAAAAAAATTTCCCCCTATTTTTGAAAAAAAAATCCCCAGGAATGTTTGTGATATTTTTACACAAGCAGCCTAATAATTAAAAGCAGGTTTTGAAAAAAAAAATCATAAAAATATTGGGGGGGGGAGGCTTATCCATTCTCAGGAAAACTGTAAAAACCCTCCGCATATTTCTTTTTGCAGTAGTAAGTCTTTATTTTATCAAATTTCCCAAAAACAGCCAATAAAACTAAAAATCACCCCTATAAAGCATTTCAAGCCCCTTTTTTTTAAAAAAAACACAAGGGTCAGAATTTTGGGCTTTCCCAACCCAAAACACAGGGGGCAGTTCTTTTATACTGTGGACTTTTCCACATTTATTTTTCAAGCTGGGCCCAAAAATTTACGTTTAAACAACTTATCGAGGAACCCGAGTTAAAATGGGATTTTTTTTTAAATGACCCGGGGCGTCGGGAAAAACTTAGATTTTTGAAAGAAACATACAGCCTCCGTAAATTTAAACCCCTTAAAAAACGGGTCCAAAATAGATTTTACTTTCCCGGGAAATTTTTATTTTTTCTTTTCAAAAAATTTAAAAGTGCTTTTTTTCTACATGTTATAGGAAAAAAAAAAAAAAATTTAGGGTCAGTACTTCCCAAAAAATATAACCCCGTAAAGTTGGCGTTTTAATCCCTCACCTGACACCCAACACTGACCCGGGCAGCATGCAAAAAGTTTTTTCCCTATAAAACCTTTTTTCTTGTTTTTATTTTAATTTATATATTTTTTTGTTCCGAAAATTTTTTTAAAAATTTTTATAATAGTTCTTAGTGTTTTCATAGCCAATCTTTGTTTTTGACAAAAATTTTTGGTACTGAAAGAAATCAAAGTCAACCCCACTTTTGACAGGTGGGGCTTTTTTCCCAACCTGCCGGGGGTTTTTAAACTATTGCTAGAAAAAATATAAAAAGTATTTATGGGGTTCCCGAAATTGTTTCGGGGAACCTGGGTATCCCCTTAAAAGGAAGGGTTTTTAAAGCCCAATGCCCCAAAAGTTTGACACGCAGTGAAAACTTGTTTAAATGGGCCTGGGGGAAAAACCCCCCTTTTGTTTTAACACAAATATGTTTTTTTTGGGGTCTGTCTTTTTTTTTCCCGGGGAATTTTTTAGGTTATTCAAGGACCATAACTTTGGGCATCAAAATGCATTGCTAAAAAAAAGGGACAGGATGGAAAAATGGGGGAACCCTTTCCCAAAACAAAGGGATGCCAACCCCATGATAAACATCTTCAGGTACTTGTTCTTATCTAGGCGGGAAAATTTTGCTGCACACTAAAAGCCCCTTTTTAAAGGGAAAGGTTTAAATGTGCCCAAAAGAAAGTTTTAAAGAACCTTAGGCGCGCAAAAAGGAGATAAAACACCTCAATTACAGGGAGTGCTTGAATTTCCTAAACCTGAAACCCCCGGGAAAAAGCGGGCGGGAGAGAGGCACACCTTTGGAAAAAACCAAGAGGGAAAAATACCGAAATTTCACACGAAAAAAACTCACAACGAAAGCCAAAAAAACCCCCTTTTCAGACGATGCAACTTTTCCCCCCAATGAAAAGCAAAGGGGGTCACTAGCATGTTTAAAGACAAACAATAATTTCCCGGGGCCTGAGGGGTGTTCAACTGCCTTTCCCCCATAATAAGGGGGGTTACCAAAAGACCCCCGGCTGTCTTCAAAGGACTGGACAAAACCCCCTAAAATCGACCGAACCCGTGGGCAGTGGCTCGTACGTTTGGGTTTTCGTGCACCAAACATAACAGCCCGGTTGATTTAGGCTTTTATCCACCCCGTAGGCCTGGTCCAGGGCCGGGGGTGCGGGGGGGTTGACCCCCAAACCCCTCTCCAGGTAAACTCCCAAATAATTTTCACCATGTATTTTCTGTACTTTTGGTACAAAGTTAGAGAACAGATATATAGACAGTTCAGAGATATAGGGCAGAAGACAAACCAGAAAACAGTCAGCCAGCCTTCCCAATTTCGTAAGAAAAAAAGGGAAAACGCAGCAGGCCTATGGCCCTTGCAAGGGAGGGCCCCTGTCACCCCTCCCTTCCCCCGGGTTAGACCAATGAACCCCCCTAGTAGGGCACATCCACTGAAGGAAGGAGCACAGATCAGACCTAGGAGCACAAGCTAGTAAGGGCCAACTCAAAAACCACCTTCCCCTAATTAAGGGACATATTTACCTAACCCATTTTTTCCCCTTTTTCCCCTTAAAAAAGGGGGGTGTTTTAAAGCGAATGGCATGAGGAATCCCTGGTGTTTGGGCCCACTATTTTCTCTAGCAAACACCAATTGAAAAAAAGGGGCTCCCAAAAGTCTAGGGGGGTCCCCAATTTTTTTTTACTGTGCACAGGGGTGCTAAGGCCCCTCCTCTCGTGTTAGGGGAAATTTAGGCTTTTCGCTTCAATTTTGGAAAAAAATGAAAAAAAACATTTATCTACGTTTGGGGAGCTAAGAGCAA